AAAAGCTGCAGAGGGGGGGACATGCTCAGTCCGTCACCTGAGGACCCAGGAAGGACGCACCATAACCATAGCAGTACGCTTTTATTCACACTATAGTTCAATAATAAAGGAATGACTAATCCTAAAAACAAACTAGAGATTCAAAGCCGTGGTTTCAGATACACAGAACAATTCATCGGTTTATTAATCCTGCAAGATGATTGGTCGCGAGATTTGGAAATTCATCAACTCACAAAAAATGCATTTCATTGGTCCAAACATTTGAAATATTTGGACCAATGAAAAGCAGCGGCATGTATGACCTCATCCAGAGGCGGCTGGAATAGCCTCTATTTCCTTTACCAGACGAGCCAAAGGAAACATGTCTGCGTGATCCTGCTGACCAGATTTGGTACGACTTTGATTCATCAGTTAACTCTGCGAGACGTAAAACTAACCAAGAATGGGATATAGGCCAGCTGCTGTGATTGGCTAAAAGCGCCACTAGGAGGCGTAATCAGCTCCTGAACCCCTGATGGATGCTGGTTACTGTCCATCACCTGGTAACGCCACGCTGATGACCAGCCGCTTTAGGCTCATTTGCAGCCTGCTGTGTGAAGCGTGTTTGATTCAGAACAGTCGAAAAGTTATTTTCTACCGTTTCAGACAAGAACTTTTCTTTAAATGGTTCTATAGAAATCCAAGAAGTGATACATTTACTGTAAAATTAAGCCAAATCATCCGGTTTGATGATGGTTCCATTTCCTATAAACAGTCAGTCCGCTCCATCAACAACGTTGATGCACTGGAACTACGCTGTGTAACCTTTGATTACTTCCTGGTTTATGGGCCAATCACAGGAGAGTTCCCAGGAATCCAGCCAGAAGAAGCCCCTGACTCATAATGCTACGTTCAGACCGCGAGCAGCAGAAGCAGCAGGTTTACAGGCAAAGTCAATGCTTGACGCGCATCAAGGCGCAGCTAAACGTCCTGCAGCGCGTTCTGAGCGCCTCATTAACTTGTGAGCATCTGAGGCGCGTCACCGCGCAGCTAGAGCAGCAAAGAAGCTTCAGCCGCGCATCAGATCTAAACCTGTAAACTTGTGTTTGACTCACAAACGTTCTGCTTTCTGTTGTTCAGGGACATGAAATCAGAGTCAGACCAAACAAATCAGAACCTGAAGATGATGAGTCCTCAGAGGTCAGAGGTCACCTAGCAAGGCTCATAGGGAAGTGGAGATCAGCTGACCTGCTTCTGCAGAGCTTCCTCTCTCCTCCTGGAGATGCAGAGGGCCTCTTTACTTTCCTGCAGCTCCTTCAGCTGCTGCTGCAGGTGCTTCATGGCCACCTGTCAGGAGATGCAGAGCAGAGGCAGTGAGCTCCGTTCCTGCTGTGCTGCAGATGTTGGGCTGGATGGAACCGGTACCTCCTGAGTCTGGAGCTTATTGCTCAGTTCTGCCACCTTGGATGAGGAGTGCTCCAGAGCATGGGCGGCACGCAGGCGGTCCAGAACCCTCAGGTGCTCCGCCTTCATGGAGGACAGCTGCTCCGCAGAGCGTTCCCTCAGCCTGCAGCAGAGCGTCCCAGCCTGCTGGTTAGCCTCCTTCTGGAGGTGAACATGGCGTCAGAGGCAGGATACTCACCTGGACAGCTCCTCCTCTGCCCGAGCAGCTCTGGCCTGCAGCTCCTCCTGATCCTTCTCACTCTGCAGCTGAAGCTGCTCCACACGCTCCCTCAGAGCCTCGTTCTCCTGCAGCACCTCGGAGATGTGGCTTCCTACCAGAAGGTGGGAGAAGGTCCAGAGATCAGTCCACAGGAGCTCTGCTTCTAAAAGCATCGCAGCATCAGACAGTTTAGTCTTCTTCATGCACAGATCAGACATTAGATCAGGAGCTGTGGTCCACCAGAGGCTGCTTCTGGTCCAGAGGAGCATCTCCTCCCTTCACAGTCCTCATTTAGCCAGGGACCGGTTCCCAACCAGGGGTACTGGTTCCACATTTAATAATTTACTTCCCAGATAAAGGAATACCAGTAAACAGGGCTGGGATGGATTCATCTCTATAGGGACCGAAATGCAAAATTAAACTAGACAGGTGTAGCAGTGGTTAGCGCGCACCACCCATGTACAGAGGCCTTAGTCCTCCACGCGGCCGACCCAGGTTCCAATCCCACCTGTGGTCCCACCTCCCCCTCTCTCATCCCCCCTCTGCTGTCAGCCTACTGTCAGAAAAAAACTCCCCCCAAAAAAGAAGTTGCTGTAATAATTCTATTCAGTTTATTTCTATAGCTCCAATTCACATCATGTCA